CGCTCGGCGCCACATTTATGCGGCCGGGGATAATTCGTTTTGGAAACGGGGGGCGCAGCGGGGCGGGGGCGGGGAATGACGGCGGCGCGGGCTAGGGAATGACGGAGGCCATGGAATGACGGAGCGGCGGCCGCCCGCGGGGTGAGTCGATTGCACCGCTATGTATATATATATATATAGAGAGAGAGAGAGAGAGAGAGAGAGAGAGAGAGAGAGAGAAAAAAAGAGAGAGAGAGAAAAAGAGAGAGAGAGAGAGAGAGAGAGAGAGAGAGAGCTCAAGTCGAGGCCCGAAGCGACCAGGGCCTGAGCGCCTCGCCCGCCTGGGGCGACCCGCCACGCCGCCGACGGCCCGGAAGCGCCGCGCCGACGAGGGCGAGGCGCTGGCCGCGAAGGTGCAGAAGCGCGCCGACGTGCTCGCGGAGGCGAGCGAGCACGTTGCGACGACAACAACAACGACGACCCCGACGACGGCGACGACGGCGGCGGCGGCAACGACGACCCCGACGGCGGCGTCGGCGACGACGACGGCGGAGATGATGATGACGATGCGGGCGTTGACGATGATGGGCGCGCTGCAGCGCGCCCATCATTATCGCCGCGGCGGCGGCGAAGGGGGCGGGCGCGACAGCGACTGCGGGCTGCGATCGAGCAGGGCCCGCGCTGCGGCGAGCTGAGCCAGCATCTCGAGCGCGCCCAGAGTGCGGCGCGGCGTCGTGGCACGCACCATGGCACTTGGCGGCGCCCGAGGCCACGATGGCTGACATCAAGGTGCATCAGAGCACTGTGTGCCAACAGATGAATGTCTGGCCGTCCGCGCCGATGTGCGTTGTCAAGGATGGCGTGGCCACGGTGGCTGGCGCGCGGCACTGGCGCGGCGACGCTTGGATGGGGTTCGGCCGCGGCGGCCACCCCGCAGCGGCGACTGAATGGGCGGCGCGAGCGCCCCTCGGCCCGCCGCCGACAAAGCTGACGCCGATGATGGCGTTTGCGACGTGCCCATCGGCTTCGGCCTTCGCCACAGCGGCATGGCGCAACCGATGACGGGGCGGCGCGCGCAGCGATGGCGCGCGCGGGCGGGGGGGGGTGGCGGGCGAGAAGGGGGAGGGCGATGATTGGATGCGCAATCGAACGATATCGCGTGGACGCAACGACTGGGACGTGGGGTGATATATCGGCACAGCGCGTGGACGTCGGCGTCGTGTGTGCGTGGGCACATGTGTGCCGCCGCCGTCGCCGTCGCTGTCGCGTTCGTCGCCGTCGTCGCCAGCGACGCAATCGTCGTCGCCACCGTCGTCGTCGTTCCTCGCATCGGAGCACGCGCGGGCACAACATGCACTATCGTTTTTGTTGTGCCCTGAACCTCGCCCATGGCTCGGTGCACTGCGAAGCGCGTGCTCAACGGAGAAGATTTAGCCTCTTCGTTGGGCGCCCACCATGAATCGACACCGCGCGTGCGATTAAGCCCGCTGCAACCAGGCCTAACCACGAAGATCGACGGCGCCATGCGGCGACGGCGTCGCGTCGCGCAAGCTCGCCGCGGCCGCCCGCGAGCCGCGCCGCTCGCGCGACAGGAGGGCGCGCCTGCGGGGCGCCGCGCGACAGACGCCCTCGTGCCCGAGGCTCGCCTCGCGCTGGTGCCGGGGGGCATGCTGCCGATGCAGCGCGCAACCAGCCCGCCCCTGGCGCCATCGCCCGCCGCGCCCCCCAATCCATTTCGTCGCACACACACGCGCGCACGCGCGCGCACGCGTCTATCCTCCATGCACCATGTCCCCTCCCCCCTTCGCCGCCCCCCACCGCCCCGCCAACCGCCGCGCGCCGCTCGCATCTGGATCGCGGCGGGCGCGACTGGCTGGATGGCGCGACCCATCAGCCCGCTGCCCCGCCGCGCCGCCCCCGCCGCCACCGCCCCTGAGGGCGCGCCCGCGGGCGCCGTCGTCGGCGCCGTGGAGGCGCCGAGCCGCGTGCCCAGGTCGGCCGCCTCCTGCAAGGGGCCGGCGCCCAAGGCGGCCGCGTTGGCGGCCGCTGCGGCGGCCCTGTCATGGACGTCGATCCCGCCGCGCACCCAGGCTGCGGCGGGCGCCGCCTCCATGGCGGCGACGGCCGCGTGCGCTGCGGCCTGTGCCGCCCGCGCCTGGTCGTGGATCGGGGCGCCCCTGCCCGTGGCCGCGGGGTGGGCCGCGCGCCCCGCTCGGTTGACCGCCCGCCGCGTGGCGAGGCGCTTCGGCCTCGCGGTCGCGGCGGCGTCAAACGTCTGACGCGCTGCCGCGAGCCGCCCCGCCGAGCCGATCACCGACCTCGCGACGCTCTCCCAATGCTGGGAGTCGCGGCGCAGTTACGCCACCGCTGGCTGCAGGCGGCTTGCAGCTGCATCCGCAGCTGCATCCGTCTGCAGGCGGCCTTGGCCTTGGCCTTGGGCCTTGGCCTTGGCCTTGCCCTTCGGCGGCATTGCGTCGGGCCGCCGCCGCAGGGCGGAAGGGGGGCGCGCCCCGCGCCGCGCGCTCTGCGCGGAGATGGACGGCCCAACAACGGCTGCTGTCGGGACGGGCAGTTACAAACGTTGCGCGCGCATCCGCACTCACCATCGCCCAACAATGCCCATCGCCCCCAAACCACATCCTACACATCCGCCCCCTCCTTTGCTATCAACCGACGATATCGCAGCTCATACCAATGATACTAAGGCATGCACGGCGCGTCGTGCTAGTTCTACGGGGTGGCACATCCTCCTCATCATCATATTCATCGCCAACACCAGCGGCATCGCCATTGGCACCACCACCACCATCATCACCATCCTCACCCTTGCCTTCATCAGCATCACCACATGTACCCTCGCCAGAACATGTCGTCGCGCAGCTCCCCCCCCTCCCGCGTCCACCCCCCGACCACCCATCATATCTAACAATCATCACGATCGCGCGTCCTACCCCTCATCCGTCCACGCGCGCACTCGCCGTCCCTGTTCTTGAGCAAGCATATGCTGGGATGGTGAAATGGTGAGGTATCGCTCCACGCTTCACCGTGAACGCGTTGCGCGCAGAGCTACACCGCTGCATGCGATAGAGATTGCATCGTAAACCACGGCTGCAGCCTGGCTTGTGATGATAGGTCGACGGCGTTGCATCGCATGGCGTCAGAGTTTGCAGGAGGGGTTGGGATGATGGCGGTGTCTGATATGGGGATTGGCGATGATGGTGGAGGCGCGGCGACGACGGCGACGACGTCAGCTGCGTGGCGCGACGTCGCCGACGACGGCGACGACAGCAGCGGCGTGGCCGGCGGTGCGCGAGCGCGTGGTTCGCCCACCCTTCAGGCAGCATCGCGCGCGCCCGCGGCGCGCCAGCGCCGACGCCCAGCGCCGATGAGGTTGCGCGAGCCAGGTGACGCGCGCCCGCGGTCAGCGTTCAACCCTCGCGGATTGAGCGCATGGCCGTGATGGGCGCGGCCGACGGGCCTGCTCCTCAGGATGGCGCGGCGAAGGGCGGTCTGGTAGCGTCGGTGGGCGCGGGCGACGACGCGGCTGCCCCTCTGGGGCTACGGCATCCAGCCCGACGCGGGCCTGCCCGCCGCAGAGCCCGTCGCGGAGCCCGACGCCCAACCCGCACTCCTGCGCGACGCCAATCCCGACGCCGCGCCCGCCCTCCCCGACGCCGAGCCCGACGCCCAGCCAGACGCCCAGCCCGACGCAGCGCGCGATGCCGAGCCCGACATGCTCGACGCAGAGTGGGTCATGGCCGAGTCGAAACAGGAGGCCGAGGAGCTCGGCTCGGGCGGCGCGCCCCTCCGCGAGGAGGAGCTCGGCGCGGGCTCGCGCGAGGAGCTCGGCGCGGGCTCGCGCGAGGAGGGGCTCGGCGGCGCGGGCGGCGCGGACAGAGTGGGGCGCGTCCGCGACGTCGACGACGACAACGACGACGTCGACGGCAGCGCTGCGCACCGAAAAGGAAACGCAAGCCGTCGTCGTTATGCAGATGCTGAACCAGAGCACAAATATGCGACTGGCGCCGCTGCAGCGGCGACACCCGCGCATGCGTGATCTGGTTTCGACGTGTTTATACATTGCAACTTGGTTGCAGCTTCCGCACTGCCCAGTCGCGGTTGGCGCAGACGTCGTCGTCGTCCTCGTCGCGTTTCCCACTGCCCAATATGCAGCATGTGTCCTGGTTGTCCCATCAGGTGGCCACCATTGCGCGTTTGCCGAACCTGCTATAGCAGGTTTGGCGAAGCCTGCGTCGATATAGTTGCGATCTGATTCTGTATGCAGCGAAGCACGCGAGCGGGTCGCTGGCCGAACTCCCCGCTACGCGTCACCAAATACTGCAAGAAGCGCGCGTCGCCTCTCACTCGCACTTGGGATTCTTGTTGCACGGCTCCACAACCAGGTGGTCGCCGACATCCAGAGGCGATGTGTTCGTCATGATCGGCACCTTCACCTCCATGCTTGTGATCTTGACATCCTCGAACGCAACCTTCATGTTGCACGTGGCATTCTGCTGCGCGCCGATGGGCACCGCCCAGAAGTACGACGCGAACATGTCCACGTCGGTCCTCGGCTTATCCTTCGCAGTCGCTGCGTCCGACCTCGGCGTGGCCAAGTGCGGCTGCGCGAACGCCTCGCGCCCGCCAGGCGCCCCCATGCTCAAATGCACGACGTCGCGCCCCGCCGTCTGCGACATGGCCAGCCTCGTGGGTGACGCTGGAATCCACCGCTGCGGCTGCGCGACGGCGCGCGATTCCAGCCGCGACGCCTTCCCCGCGCGCGCGCGTGAGGAGCAGACGGCGCGATCGAGCCATTGAACGCAATGGCCTTGATCGTTGTATTCGGAGCCCGCGCCAGACACGCCCCCCCACCCCCCCGCCCCTCGCCCCCCCTCACCCGGCTCCCGTCCCGCAAGCGACATTCGTTAGACAACCAGAATTACGATGATGTTGATGGCGGCATGGACAATCGGGCCCGAGCCCGATAGTCCACGCCGATGCTGCACGCGTCGGGGCAGCGCCAGCTCAACAATGCTCAACGCCTCCGCCTCGAACTTCCGCTTGGCGATGACCGCCGTCGGCCTGCTGAGGAGGCCCAAGCCCGCGTCTGCGGACGCAGTGTACTTCCTGGTCTTGCTGCGAAGCCCATGGCTGCTGCCTTGCTCGCCCCCACCGCCATCCTGGGCATCGTCGGCAGCATCGACGCTGTGATCTTCGCGTGCTCCTGCACCTGTGTACCAGCCACCTACTTAGCCAACGCACCCTTGGCGTCGATCCAATCGGACTCGGCAACGCGGGCGCCATTTGTCCACCTGCTGATCTCGACGCCCGCCTCCGCGACCGCAACGATCTCGGAATGCTCGCCACAATGCGCGCCAGGATACGCAGCGCCCTTTCTCTTGCAGTTGGCGCCGCCCTTGAACCCAGCCGCCACCATCTGGAACAGCGCGCTCTTCATGTCCGAGACGCTCTCGGCGTGACGCGACGCCGCCGGTGGCGCCGACGTCGCCGCCGTTGGCGCGTGCCCACCAGCACTGGACTGCAAGGCGGCCGCCGAGGGGCCGTTGCTCGCAAACCCGAAGCCCGCCAAGTTGGCATTCAGGCTGCCATCGACGTCTTTCAAGAACGCCTTCGGCGCAGTCGAATGACACGCTTGAGCGCGCCATTCGGCTGGGCGGCGAAGGATTCGCCGGGGCGAACCTCCCACCCCGTGTACTGCACCAGACAAGCCTTGATCACGTCATCGATGATCTTGAAGTTGTCGCCATTTGCGTTGTGCTTCTTCGTCAGCACGCGCGCCGCTCTCGCATCTTTCTGGACGGTCAGCTTGGAGGCGCCGACCTTGTCTTCCCTCACGTTACGCAGCAGCGCGCGGGCGCGTTCCGTGCACAAGTCGGCCTGCATGCGGTTCTCGCGCGCCTTCTTGTTGACCAGGGCAAGTGCAGCCTCCTGTCTGAATGTCGTAGAAATGCCGCCCGCCGCCTTCCCATCCGTCATATCGGCAAGGGTGAGAGCGTTCATCGCGCACGGGCGCTTCTCACCTTTCGGAAGCTTGCCCGAGAACTCGTTGAAGGCCGCAAGGATCTCCTGGCCGATCATGTCACTCTCGGAGTTCGCTGTCGTCGTGGCGAATGTCTTCGCTGCCGTCCGCAGATCGTGCACCAGCTCACCGTTGCTGGGCCCCGCCTTCACGTAGTGCGCGATCTCTTTGATCCACGGCTTGCATGACGGGCTGCTGTGCCTGACCTCCGCCGCGATCTCGCCGTGCGGAGCCTTCTCGAAGCCCGCCTCATGCTGCGCGGCCTTGTTGTAGACCGACAACGCACGCTGGCCCGCCAACTGCGCGCGGGCGACCCAGCGCGCCTTGACTCGCGCAGGGCGCACTTACGCGCACAGAGCGACAACGCGCGCTGCGCGCGCTGGAACATCGCGCGCGCGGGCGCCTCGTGCCACCAATATGCACGCGTTACATCGCAGCGGTGGTGCGCCAGCCCTGACGAATCATCTCCACCTCCGACGGCCCCTTCGCCTCGGCGTTCAGCGCGCTCTGGATGAAAGCGGGCAGCGCGGGGAACTCGCGCTCGCGGCGCTCGGGCAGCACCGGCCATCGCACCCCTCCCTCCAACGCGCCCTCGATGACAGGATCGGCCAGCAGCTTGGCCCTGTTGACCCTGCCCCGCTCGCCCTGCATCAGCGGGATGTTCGTCGGCGCCCCGTGCGCGAGGGCGCCGGAGGACGCGCGCGCGCTGCCCCCCCCCCCCCCGCCGAGAAGCACTTGGGTGGCAACTGCCGCGGGGGGCGCGGGCCGTTCGACAGCGCTGCGACGTCGCCCGAGCTCTTGTAGAACGCCGCGATTAGCGCGGGCGCAGTCGGCGCCTCGAAGCAGGCGGCGTCGCTGGCGCGCTTCGCCGAATGCCCGAGCGCGACGATCTTCGCCCCGAGCTTGTGCGTCTTGTCGGGTTCACGCCGTCGCTGGGCCTGTTTTGCGGGCGCGGGTCGACCAGCTCAGGACTGACGGTCTGGTGATGTGCCCAACCGTGGGACAACAGCGCCGGCTAGATATGTTCCCATCCACCAACGAGCTGGCCCGACATCCTGGCGCTCTCCATCGGGCAGTCAATGAGCGAGATGATCGCCTCGTCGCCGAAGAGAACCATCGCGGCCGACGCGATGACTGCTCTGAAATGGCAACGGGGCAGGTCGCGCGGTGGCGCGGCGCCGAGGAGGCGCACGCCTCGCTCGAGGCACGCCCGAGGCTCGGAACAGCCTCGCGGTTCTATATCGGCAAGCATGTCAGCAGTCTGGTGATGGCGACTGGCTGTCTGAAGTTGCTGAGCAACCGTGCCGTACAGCTTGGCAGCGCGCTAGATTATCCGACGCGCGGCAGCGACGTTGCGGCGGGAGGCGGAAGGCGACATGATTGCAACTGCAGAGATATGGCACCCCCTGCCCGCGCGCGGGGCGGAACCTCAACGCAGCGCAAAAGCATGGTGTTAAGTTGCCCGTCTCTCGAATCGGGACCACCGTCTTCAAAAAAACATTGGTTTCACGTGTGAAACCCATGCCGGTATCGTATAAAATCAGGTTCGGTATCGCGCAAACGCACGGTGTGATGTTGTTTTCGTTTGCGCGGCTCAAACAACACAAAAACGAGAACCACGGTCACTACTCATGTTCTTTCGTACTTAACAAATACGAATATAGTGTCCGTCTAAGTACTTAGCTAAGTCAAGTGATAATCACCTGTTAAATGCTTAGCTAAGCACTTAGAAATGCCATCTAAGTGCTCAGAATTCCAGCTAAGTACTCAGCGAAGTACTTCGAAGTGTCGTGATAAGTACTAGATAAGTTACTTGTCAATCGCTTGCCAATGACTTAGCTAAGTACTTAAAACATATAATGTAAGCGTTTAGCAACATAAGTTATGTACTTACCGCCACTTAGCTCTAAGTAATTACTAAGTCGACGCTCAGTCCACGTAGACTTGCGAGGTTGTTATGCGACTTACCAAGTACTTTGCTAGGCACTTAATAAGTTGGCTAAGTCCTTAGGTGACGTAGAAATACTTGCATGTGACTTGCAAGTGCTTAGATGTGGCTTGCAAGTATATTAGAAATCATATTGTAAGTACTTACCAAGTCAGCTATGTACTCACAAGAGCATGGTCCACCCAAGCAGGTCCGTCGGTTCATCCTAAATCGGAAATAACGGTGCCGGGACCCGCAAAGGCGCCAGGAGGCCGAACACGGCCAACATCCTGCCGCTCAAACTTTTGTCGGAGCCTCGGATCTCTTGCGGAAGCCAAAAGGTACTGATACCGCCACAATCCAGATTCTCCTGGGGGTGCGTTCTCACCGGACTTCCGAGGCGAATCCAGCGGTGGCGACGAGGGCTTCCCAGGAAGCCCCGAAACGGTGAAAACGAGGGGAGGGTAGCGGTCTGGGCACCTGTTCCTTCTCTCATCTCTGGGCTCCTCCTGTTCCTCCTCCTCCTCCTCCTCCTCCTCCTACTCCTCCTCATTCTCCTCTTCGATGTCCCCCTCCTCCTCCTTCAAGCCCGAGCTCGTGCTGCTGCTGCCGCCGCCGCTGCTAGCAGGCCTGAGAGGGTCAGCGTCAGCGAGAGCGAGAGCCATCGAGCAGGTGGCAGCCAGCAGCATATGCAGGGGTGCGGGTAGCGTGATCGAGCAGAGCACGACTGGTGCTTCTCAGGGTATTCCCAGGCTATTCCTCCCCCTCCTCCTCCTCCTCCTCCTCCTCCTGATCCTGATCCTGATCCTGATCCTGCTCATCCTCCTCCTCTTCGATGTTCCCCCCTGGGGGGAGGCCTGGGGGACCCCGAGCCGGATCCGAGACGGGCCCCCGTGGGCCTCGCAGCGCGCGCAGACGCACTCGAAGCCGTGGTCCCGCAGGAGCTGCGCGCGCCGTTCGGCCAGCGAGGCACCTTCCGCGGCGCCATCCAGGTAGCTGATCTGCACCTCCTCGTCCTTCAGCGGTGAGCATCGTTTGACCGACGCCTATCCCCAGGCATGATCGCGTCGCAACACAAAAAAACTCAACGGGAGGCTGTTGGCCGTTTTCGGCCTCTGGGGGCCCTCGACGGGCCCTGGGACAATCAAAAAACGAGTCGGGATGAGAAACCGGTCCAGGGGAAAGGGTACCGGGTAGGGACTTCATCGGAACGCGCATGGAAAAAATCAAGACGTCGCATGCCTGGATCCACAGCGGCGTAGCCTGGACCCGACTGCCCGATGCGCCCCCCGTGCACGGGGATGTGGGCCGCTTCCTGCGGGTGTCGAGGGGTGCATCTCCCCAACTGGGGTGCTGAGATGGTGTGGGTCTGCATAGGGGATGGAGATGGGCCATGGGGTCGGTTCAACGATCCTGGCCTGCGGCGGCGCGCCGAAGGGCGAACGAAGAAAAGCGAGCACTTCTGTTTGCACCTGTGCGATGTCGCCGATGCGCCGACCCTGCCGGTATTTGCCTCGGTTATGGGGCCACATGCGAACCCTACCCCTACCCCCCACGATTTCTGAGAAGGAGGGTGGGGTTCACTTCGCTTGGGAGCTCCCGAACGAAGTGAACCCCACCCTCCCCCTCAGAAATCGTGGGGGGTAGGGGCAGGGCTCGCATGTGGCCCCCTATCGGTGGTGACGGGGGTGCGAAGGTAAGCGTCACCTGCTGCGCGCGCTCCTCAGCCGCCAGCGCGGCCACCTCGGCCAAACTGCTGTCACGGGCTCGGTGCTGGCCGGCTCTTCCGGTCCGCTCCGAGGGGGGGAGTTCCAGCTCCCAATGATGTACCCCCCCCCTCCGCCCCCCCTCCCTCCTCTGCCCTCCTCTTCCTCTCCTCTTCCCCCTTTCCTGGGACAGGGAGCGGATGAGGGAGGTCGTGGTGGTGTACATGTGTATTCTTAGGCCCCGTAATTAGAAGGTGAGACGTTTGTCGGACGACTCCGTTGGTTCCCGGAGGGTTTCCAGCCTCGCGGGTGCTTGCCAGCATCTGCGCCTGGCCAAGAGCGTTCGGGGGGAACAGCCCACATCCTCCCAAGCGGCCACTGGAGACCTGAGCTCTGACCCGAATACCCAGTCTAGGCGGCGCGCCGAGGGGGAAAGTGGGAGGCGGCAGGCATTCGCAGAAAACAGCAAAGGCTCTCAGGAACCCTCTGGCTTTCCGAGAAACCGTCTTTCTGGCTCTGGAGATGGCTTGCAAGATCCCGCAGACAGTCGACGACGAACAGCCTCGACGACTCCGGGAATCCTGGGTCGCAGAATTTGGTGCAAAAAGGCGATTGCACCAGGTTTCGGGCCCTGGGGCTTCCACAGATGGATGGCTCGAAAACTGCCGCGGAACGATGGGGTCTAGGGCTGCGGTTGTTTTGCTTCGCGATGTTTGTTATTGTTGATGTTGTTGTTGTTTCTGCTATTGGGGTTGGTGTTTTTTTTTGCTGCTGCTGCTGCTGTTACCGTTGTTGATGCTGTTGTTATTGTTGTTGTTCCTGGTGTTGCTATTGTTACTGCTATTGCTATTGCTGCTGCTGTTGCTGTTGCTGTCGTTGTAGCTGTCGTTATTGCTGCTGTTGCTGCTGTTGTTGTTGCTGCTGTTAATGTTGTTGATGTTATGGTTGTGGTTGTGGTTGTTGTTGAATGCTCATTTCTAGAGAATAATTATTCCTGAGCTCGGGAAACGTTCCCGCGCGCTCTCGACGCCGGCTACATTCTGTGGAAACGAGGCTCCCGCGCGAGCGTTGGCTTGAGTATAAAAATGTGCGAGGCTCGGCTACGACGACAACAGCTCCCGATCTACACTTCCTCACAATTTACCCCGAAACACCCTGGCCAGGAAGGCCCCCGACCTCAGGAACGGCGCTCTCGGTCGAGACTTCTTGCAATTTGGCCAAGTTGGCGGAGGCCCAGCCACGACGACAAAAGCTTCTGGCCGATACTTCCACACAGTTTACTCCGAGAGGCCCTGGCCAGGAAGGCCCCCGAACTCAGGAACGGCGCTCTCGCTCGAGACTTCGTAGTGATTCAACCAAACTGGTGGAGGCCCAACTACGATGACAAGGGTTCTCGCTCGACATTTCCTCAAGATGTACTCGTAGAGGCTATTGCAAGAGAGGTCCCCGAACTCAAGAGTGGCGCTCTCGCTCGAGATTTTCTCGTAATTCACATTGGTGGAGGCCCAGACACGACGGCAAGGGCTCCCGTTCGATATTGCTCAATATGTATTCCGAGAACCCCTGGCCTGGCCAAAGAGACCCCCGAACTCAGGAACGGCGCTCTCGCTCGAGAGTTCCTCGCACTGCAGTCAGAGGCCGACCAGGAAAATATCCCCCGAAACAAGGTTCGATCGAACACGAAGTGGGCGGGTACCGACGGTTGGGGTATACAGAATGCAAAACACGCGTGCCAGTAAGAGCGAACAGTCTTAACATGGTTGTTGTTGTTGTTGTTGTTGTCTTCTTGTGTTGTTCTGCAACGTTGGATCTCAGGGAGCGACGATGGTACCGTCAACGTCGACGACGGCGGCACAAATTCAAGAGGCGGCCTCCTACTTAGCCGGACCCCCTCGCACCCGGGGGGGAGCCCCCGAGAGCGCGACAGCCGACGCCGACCAACCTCGACGACCCCAAACCATCGCAACACAGCATGTATATGTATACGCA